CAGCAGGAAGCATCTTCTAGCTGGTCTCGGACTGCGCTGAGGTGGCATGGTTTAGCTGCTGTTTGACCAATTTCAGCATTTGGACTTTCTGAAAAATCTTTCCTTCTAAAGCTTTGTTTAGGTAAGAGCAGTGTTAATGGATTTTTTTTAAACTTTTCATTTGGTATTCCTAAAAGTGAATCATTTTGGTAGACTATTAATTGTCTTGTGTCAAAGTGTTGGGTGTCTTCAGAGATAAGATATCCTACTGGAAGCATTTAAACCTCTAATGACATTTTTAAATGCTCTTTATCATCAGTTTTTTTTATTATTAAACCCTGATATTTCAGTTTATTTCAAAGTTCTTAGTTTTTCACTCTGATGAATATGTTCTTTTTCAAGATATTCAGATGGATAATACTCAAATCATGTCTCATAAATGCTCTTATTCTTGTTGCAAAGTACAGACAAATGATGAAAATGATTGGGAGAAAATTTTGGGAACATCACTGACTTCATCTCTTGTTAAAATCAGGCCTTAAGTTCACGATGACTCTCTGTTTGCAAGATGTCACCTTCTATCTCATGTTGTGCCCCCAAATATGTGAAAATTGATATAATTACTTGCATGTATTTTAACTCATATCATCTTTTTAGATTTGGAATTAGATGTATTTCATATATTTATCAGCACAAAGACCATGGACCTCTTTGTGGACTGCTATCAGCTTAGTGTTTGCTGAAGATGAGGCACATGTCAGCTAGTAATGAGTCCTTGGAGATGGATGTATCACCATTTTAGGACTGCAGGGTATAATGGTAAAACCACGCAATCTGTAACAGTTCTTCACCAGGCAGCAGCCGGCAGTATCAGAGGGGTAGCACCAGCGTCAGATAAAAGAGAGAGCTAGAGAGGGAGGGAGCAGGAGAGAGAGGTAGAGTGATGAGTGAGCAATAGAAAGGAGAAGCTGGGTAGAGAGTGGGTACAGACATAGAGAAGAAGCCGGTGAGGGTGAGACGCCGATGCACATCTAACTAGGGGTGTTTTCCCTTTTTTTTGTCTCTATTTCCCACCTGGGCTCCCAGCGCTCTCCAGGATCCGATGATTACAGGGCAGCTGAGCAAGCCGCTGCTCTCCCTGCGCAGCGACATGAGCGCGGCAGAACTCCGGGCAGACGACAAAGCGGCCACCCCAGACAGCGATCTGAATGACGAGGCCCTGCTCCTGCCCTCCGAGGCCACGGACAGAGAGGGCACTCCTAACAAGCTGTATGGTAAGTCCACTAATACCTCTCATCTCTCCCTTCTCCTTCATAATGCTACTGGCTGAGGTCTGGTTTCAGCAGCGGTGAGGTGGAAACAGAGAGCTTCCAGTGCTGGGACAGGTGTCAGCAGTGGCAGGCAACAAACTTCGAGTTTAAGTGCAATGATTGTCAATGTTTTGCTCTTTAATGCTTAGTTGTGTTAGTATAAAAAATGCATTTTATGTTGCTTTTGTGTGTTGAGATGTTTCATGCACCTTCTTTTCAGATTTCTTAGAAAAGCACTTCATTTTTATAGGGGACAGTCTGTTATGGTTACAACAGGTAATTGTTTTGCTGAAATGTTCCTCAGAAAGATGCAGTACATATTAATTAAATACTTAAATACTCAAAAAAGTATTAGTGGATAATTTTATGCTTTATTATTGTTTGTTTCATGGCAGCAGCTGTACATTCATCTTGTTTACATAAAATCTGCTCAAAACATTAACCGATCCATAAAAGTCAGATTTTGTCTGTCAGGATATTTTACCTCAAACCCACTTTTACAGCCCTTGTGGTATTATATCATGTAAACTTTTCTTAAATCTAAAGGAGTACATTTTATATTTGTCATTTAAACATTGATGGGGCAAATTATGCAGTTAAATCATAATTTGTTAATTGTTCAGAAATTAAAATCCCAGCTTTTAGCAAATATTACATCAGCACATCAGTTAAAATATTATTGTTTCTAGATTATTGCAGTCTTCTTTATAGTCATTTTAAATTTATTCAGTCATTTTGGCATCATCTACTGCAACTGATCTTCAAAATTAGTCAATTTCTAAATCAGCATGCCTCATTATTTTTGCAGTTTATCTCATTAATTGAGTATTCACACACTATTTTGATTGTGTTTAAATAAGTATTTTTATTATGAGCTGTTCCAGTCATGCAGACTAATTCAATCGCTGTGCCTTGTTATGAATCAGTAAGCGTAATGATATAAATTACCATCTAGCACATTTTCTAATTATTTGTTTTAATGAGAAATGTAATGCAGCCCTAAAGTTTTTTCATTAGAGACATTTTTTAATCATTAAAATTAGAAATTACTGTATAATGCATTTCTATCACATTAAAATGTCCAGTAGCTGCGTATTTAACTTGTTTGTTCTTCTGTAGAGAGCTGCAGAATTTAAACTTGAATTAATATATTTAATTTTAAGAACATTATGTGCACTTAGTATTTGTGAACTTTCTTCACCTCCACTTCATTTCCAAGACAGTGTTGTTATTTGCTTATGGAAACCTTAGAAGGGGCCATTGAAAATAGTGTGCAAAAAAACTTTGAAGGATTTAATATAAAGAGCAGATTTGCTTAACAAATTATTACCTTTTACCCTTTTTGTCAAGTTTTAAAATTGTTCTCTTGTTTTGATATGGATGCAAGGTGACAAGTGACAAAAATGCTTCTCCAGTGTTGAATATTTATACAACCTGTTGTCTCTTCTGCTGGTGGCCGTCTTGTTGCACCATGTCTTAGTTAAACTGTGTGTGTTCTTGTCTACATGTACACCTTAGTGTGTTTATGTTGGAGAGATTTTGGCATATAATTGATTTATTGGTGATTATGAATTTATACTGCAATAACCAGTGCATATTTTTTTTAGTTTATGATTTTAATGAGAGCTGTTAATGTGTGACCCTATCTGACCCTCTCGGTGTGTGCGTTTGCTTCTTGGGAAGTGGCAGAGAGTAATATAGAGGGAGTGCCAAACATTTGTGAACAAAATAAAATGAGAATCTGGAGGAGGAATAGCCAAACATTACTCTCAAACCTAATCAGCGAGAGTTCAGCTGTCTTTTAAATCCTTATTTCAAGAACTACCAGAGGCTAGAGGCTTCTAAACAAGGACTGTGTACGACAGGATTTGTCTCCAAAGTATTGCAATTTGGTTTAATAAGCATCAAGCTTTTGCTTCTTTCTTGCTGTCTGATCAGTTTCTATGACTCTCCTCCTGCTTCTCACTTGCTGTTTTTGTTTCTTTTTTGTGTATTGCACCTTAAACATTGTTAAATGCCTTGCTATTAGTTTTTATGTGAAGTTATTAAACTTCTACATAACAACTGAATATTTGTCAATGAAAATTATGCAAGTAACATATAGCTTCTTCTTCTGCTCATTTCTGGAAACCATAACATTTTTTATGTTTATTTTGCACTTGGAGTCCGCTGATGGCTTGTCATCATACTGCACGTTGCTGGTCATGTCTGTAATGTGGATTTTAAGGAGGTGGGGGTTAAGTCTGCCCAGTGGCAGGGCCCTGGGCTGTGCCAGCGGCAGGTTTGGTTTAGGAAGCGCTGCCCACATGACCTGTCAGAGAGCGAGGCAGGGACCAGTGAGGAGATTTGGCTCAGTTGTGTCTTTTGCTGGGGGGAGATAGGAAGGAGAGAGGGAGAGAGAGTAGTGAGTTAAAGAGGAGAGGCAACTTCTTTCTCTACACCTCCTTAAATTCTGTCCAAATAAAGGGAAAGGCATGGTTATAGTGACTGTTCACATATATTCTTAGGCATGAATTAGCGTGGTAATTGTTGCTGCAAAGGCCATTTTGTTTGGTATTTAGCTGAAGTTCAAGTGAACATTTGTGAGATTTCTAACTGTAGTTGATGGATTATATTACCTGCTATGAATTGAGTCAGGCCCGTGAAGTCTCTCTAAAACCAACTGAGTGTAACACATGTGGCCAAAAATCAAAAACACTAGATTATTTTACTTTCTGAAAAATGGAAATGTTGAAGATGAGGAGTAATGTATCTGAATGTATTTTGCATATTGAATGGCTAAATAAAAACTAATGTTAACAGTAATTTTATCTTTAGTTTTGGCATAGCAGTTTACATTATTGTTATCTGGGTTATATTCATTTGCATTTGTGTTTACAGTAAACCTTCAAGGTTGCTGGGAGGTTTAGTTAAGTTTGCAATTCTCACCAGTCCTTTATTAACATTAGGAACAACCCTGAATTTAACCTTTAAACTAGACCTCAGTGGTTTACTTTAAGCGGCTCTTCACCATATTAAGATTCCCTTTTGTGGTGAGATAGCAAGAGATGGTAGTTTACTTTGGATGCCTCAGTTTCAGAAGAAAGGAAAATGAGAAATTCTATTTCTCAATAGAATGCTTCAATTTCATGACTGACAGATGTACACAAGCTGCTTATCACCTGCACAAAAACAGCACACACTAATACTCTCAAGGAAATGCAAATCATATTGAGACTTAATTTGCTACTCCAGAGTTGAGAATGAGGCGTATGTACAGATGAAAAAACTGCAGTTGGAATAGTGTTATGACACACACACATGCATACCCAGTGTATTCATAACACATCTGTGAAAGTTTGCATCGTTTGAGTCAGGATTGAAGCAGTTATCTGTACTTTATAGTCATAGTGATCTGCTGAGAACAACCTATAGCTGAAGAGTTACAGACTCCTAGAGAATATCTAGAGTTGTGCAAGAGCCTCCTGCCACTGTGAATATTTTGGACAAAAGGTTTCCTTTACTTCCTGTCAGCTTATATCTATATACACTTTTAGACATTTTGGACTACAGTGTTGAACAGTTATGAATCATCACTGCAGCAAATATTTGCTTTTACTCTGTGAATGTTGATATGTCTGCACACATGTGCTATGTATGTGGGTTTTTTTTTTTTATTTAAAGAGGCTTCCTTCCAGAGTTGATGTATGATTTTAGCTTTAGTGCCTTAACACTAAGAGTTTGTGCCACTATGAGATGGAGAAGTCACTGAGAGACAATGAAAGTAGCAGACATGTTTGTCTACAGTAAATTGTGCACCTTCTCCACCCACCGCCACATGCTTACTGCAGTGGTGAAAGGGTTGTTCTCCTCCTAAAAGCTTGCCTGTGCAAATAGTCTTCCACTTCAGCTAACAGGGGCTACAAGGCACCAGCAACATCCTGCCGGCTTGTATTTATTCCAAGTAGAAGTGGACATTAGGTGGGAAAGCTGTGGTTAGTAGGGCAAGCAATTTTTTTTTTCAAAGGACAAGATGGTGTTGGGTGCATACAGTTTCTGTCTTCTCTTCTCAAGCAAATCTCCCCCTTTCAGACACCAACAGACAAGATAATAAGACACTCAGAGCACAATTCCGTATTATATTCAGCAACCAAAGGCTCATCTCTTGTCAGTTTGCATTTACTCTCCCAAGGATGTGACGCTTCTATCATCATGCTGTCAAAGAGAGCTAGGCTGGAACGACAGGAGCACTCATTTCATACACTTACTGTCTACATAAAATGGTCTGCACTTATACGGATTCTGCCAAAATGGTGGAACATTTTCACAAAGGTCACCTAGACACCCCCTCTCCAAAAGAGCAAAATGAATCTTTTCATTGATTCCTGGTATTGGAGGTCATTCAGAACAAAAAGTTTGGCCCAAATACCACATCTGCTGTAATGCTGCACCCTGCTTTTATGTTTTTACAGGCTTATTAGACTTCACTTACAGTCAGCTTGTATACTGGATCAGTGAAACTAATTTCAGTTGGACAATTCATCGTGTCACTCACACAGTATGGTCATCATTTTGGAGAGTACCTAGAGTTGTGCCATTAGAAAAGTTTTAAATATGTAGATTTAAACAGTATTAGCATTGCAAACTTTTCATCATTTTTTGAATTTAGCGGGTATGGATCGTGGTTAATGGGTTTAACTGCGATATGCCCAAATTTCAGAATACCACCTGGGTTTTTAATCTAGTAAATGTGACTAAATTAAGTACGATGACACTCAGAAATGTTAGTTTGCATATACAGGTGATATTGCTTTTGAGTTGATGGTGAGTATTGTTTCATAATACAGAGCTCACAAGAAAAGATACGTAGCTGGAAAAACACTGATTGACTTGGTTTGATTTCACATTCATCTTCTAACATTTCTTCCTGGTAGAAAATGGTAAAGCACACTGATTTATTGAATATGTACATTTGTCAAATTGGT